TAAGTAAAAAAAAAAAACAGAGGAACAATCCTTTTATGTTGTGAGAAAGGGGTAACCTAACCAAGAAAGGCCCTCTCTGCCCTTAACATATCCAAAATAAAACCCTCTTCACCCTCCTCAATGACTGACTCCCTTGTTAATGTGCTTTTTTAAAACTGAGGGCCCCCTTCCTTTTCTTTTTTGAGATAGTCCTCATTAATGACTGTTATTCCTATTGCAACAGCCTGAATAAAAATCATTTCCTTTAAAAAAAAAAAAAGCAAGCAAGCCAGGATAGCAATACTTATATGAGACAAAATAGAGTTTAAAACAAAGGCTATACAAGAGACAAAGGCCATTACATAATGATCAAGGGATCAACCTAAGAAGATGTAACAATTGTAAATATATATGCACCCAACATAGGCACATCTGAATATGTAGAGCAAATATTTACAGACATATAGGGAGAAACTGACAGTAACACAGTAATAGTAGGGGGCTTTAACCCCAGATTTATATCAATAGACAGAAATCAGCAAGGAAACACTGGTCTTAAATGACACCTTAGACCAAATGGACTAAATATATATAGAACTTTAAATCCCAAAGTAGCAGAATATACATTCAAGTATACTTGGGACATTCTTGAGTATAGATCACATACTAGGCCAAAAAATTAGTCTCAGAGATTTAAGAAAATTGAAATCTTTTCTGGACACAATAACATGAGACTGGAAATTAACTGCAAGAGAAAAAATGCAAAAAACCACAAATACATGGAAGCTAAATAATATGCTACTAAACAACTAATGGATCACTGAAGAAATCAAAGAAATTTAAAAATAACCTGGAGAAAAATGAAAACAAAACCACAATGATTCAAAATCTATTGGATGCAGCAAAAGTAGCACTAGAATGAAGTGTACACCACTACAAGCTTAAGTCAGGAAACAAACAAAATCTCATTTAAAAAAAAAAACCTACACCTAATGGAATTAGAAAAAAAAATACAACCCAAAGTTAGTAGAAAGCAAGAAATCATAATGATCAGAGCAGAAATAAATAAAAAAGAGATAAAAACAATAGAAATTATCAATGAAATTAGAAATTGTTTCTTTGAAAAGATAAATATAATTGATAAATCCTCACTCTGACTCATCAAGGGAAAAAAAAAGAGGGCACAAATTTATAAAAGCAGAAATGAAAAAGAAGTTGCAACCAACACCACAGAAATGCAAAAGATCATAAAAATTATTATAAACAAGTATACACCAGTATAACACAATGTAGAAGTAATGGATGAAATGAACCATCTCCCAAGACTGAACCAGGAAGAAATGGAAAACATGAACAAATCAATAGCCATCAATGAAACTGAATCAGTAATTAAAAAAAAAAAAAAAAAAAACTCCCAACAAACAAAAGCCCAGGACCAGATGGCTTCACAGGTGAATTCCACTAAAGATTTAGAAGAGAGTTAACACTTACCCTTCTTAAACTATTCCAAAAAATTGCAGAGAAATGTAACTTCCAAACTCATTCTACAAGGCCAGCATCATCCTGACACCAAAACCAAAGATATCACACAAAAAAATAAAATTACAGACCAATATTACTGATAAACATACATGCAAAAATGATCAACAAAATGTAAGCAAACTGAATTCAACAATACATTAAAAGGATCATACATGATGATCCAGTGTGATCCATCCCAGCAATGCAAGGATGTTTCAATGTCCACAAATCAATGTGATATATAAACAAACTGAATAAAAATCATATGATTATCTTAGTCAACATAAAAAAAAAGGTTTTGAAAGGATTCAACATCTATTGATGATTAAAAAACTCTCCACATGGTAGATATAGAGGAAATAAACCTCAACATAATAATGGCCATTTTGTCTAGCCCACAGCTAACTTCTACTCAATGGTGAAAACCTGAAAGCATTTCCTCCAAGGTTAAGAACAAGACAAACATGCCCACTCTCAGAAATTTTATTCAACATAGTATTGGAAGTCCTAGCTATAGGACAACAAATAAAAGAATCCAAACAGAAGAGAAGTGAAACTGTCATGCCAACATATGTAGAAAATCCTAAAGATGTCAACAAAATACTACTGGAGCTCATCAATGAATTTGGAAAAGTTTCAGGATACAAAATAATATAAAGAAATCTGTTCTTTTATTTCTATACAATAAAATAAACTATCAGAAATAAAAATTAACAATTTCATTTACCACCACATCAAAAAAAAAACCCCCACAAAACCTAATGTAAACATAACTAAGGATGTAAAAGATATACACCAAGAGAAGAGAACTATCAGACTCTGATGGAAGAAATTTAGGATGACACAAACAAGTGGGATGATATACTGTGTGCATGGAATGGAAGAATTAATATTGTTCAAATGTCCATACTACCCACGGTAACCTACAGATTCAATGAAATCTCTATCAAAGTACCAAAGGCTTTTTTCCACAGAACTAGAACAAATAATTTTAAAATTTATAAGGAAACACAGAAGACCCTAATAGCCAAAGCAATCTTGACAAAGAACAAAGGTGTAAGTATCACACTCCCTAACTTTAGACCACAAAGCTACAGTAATCAAAGCAGTCTGGTACTGGCACAAAAACAGACACATAAGTCAATGGAACAGAATAGACAGCCCAGAAATGAATCCATGCAATTAAGATCAATTAATCTATGACAAAGGAGACAAGAATTTACACAGGGAAAATACAGTCTTTTCAAAAGGGGTGCCAGGAAAACTGGACAGCTACATGTAAAAGAATGAGATTAGAACATTTCCTCAAACATATACAAACTAAAAATGGATGAAAGACCTAAATAAAAACTGAAACTATAAAACTCCTAGAGGAAAACATAGGCAGAACACTCTGACATAAATCATAGCAATGCTTTTTTTTTTGATCTGTCTCCTAAAGCAAACAAAAGCAAAAAGAACATACACACACACACACACACACACACACACACACACACACACACACACAAATGGGACCTAATTATTTGTAAAAGCTTTTGCACATCAAAGGAAACCATTGACAAATGAAAAGGCAACCTGCTGAATGGGAAAACATATTTGCAAATGATATAACCAATAAGGTATTAATATCCAAAATATATAAACAGCTCATACAACTCAGTATCAAAAAAACTGATTTTAACAATGGGTAAAATACTTGAATAAACAGTTTTTCAAAGAAGGCATACAGATGGCTAACAGGCACATGAAAAGATGTCCAACATAGCTAATCATCAGAGAAATGCAAATCAAAACCACAATGAGTTAGTACCTCAAATAGATCACATCAAATTGATGACAAATAACAAATGCTGGTGAAGATATCAAGAAAATGGAATCCTTGCATACTATTGGTGGGAATGTACACTGGTGCAGCCACTGTGGAAAACATTATGGAGGTTCCTAAAAAACTAAAAGTAGAACTATCATATGACCCAGTATATGGATATATATTTGAAGACAATGAAAATACTAATTTGAAAAGATACATCCACCCCATATTCACAGCAGCACTATTTGTAATAGCCAAAATACAGAAACAACACGTTTCCATCAACAGATGACTAAATAAAGAAGATATGTGATATATATACAATGGAATACTACTTAGCCATAAAAAGAATGAAATTTTTCCATTTGCAACAACTCAGATGTACCTGGAGGATATTATGTTCAGTAAAATAAGTCAAATAGAGAAAGACAAATACTATATTTTATCACTTAGATATGGAATACAGAAAATAAAACAAATGCACATAGCAAAACAGAAACTGACTCACAGACATAGAAAACAAGCTAGTGGTTACCAAAAGGGGGGTGGGGCAAAATAAGGGTAACAGATTAAGAGGTATAAACTACCATGTTTAAAATAAAGAAGCTATAGGAATATATATTGTAAGACACAGGGAATATAGTCAACATTTCATAACAAATTTAAATGGACGTAGTCTACAAAATTTTGAATTACTATGTTGTATACCTGAAACTAATATTATAAATCAACTATATCCAGGAAAGATATAAGATGACAACATTATCGTTTCCATTGTAAGTTAAGATCTAGTCTGGGTTATCACAAAACAGTAAAGAGTAGATACATGGCATGTTCAGAACTAAATTCTAAAGAGTTGGATCTTTATGTCAAGTTGCTGCCTGTGCTCTACCCTCATTTAATTTCTTGGTTCTTGTAAGTTGGAATCATAAGTTTTGTGGTTCATAAACTTGATATCATCTTGTGTTACAGCTTCAAACACAGGTAGTATAACACTGAGGAAGAGAATCTGTTTGATTATCTGACAACATAACTGCCACCACCACCACCACCACCACCCTAGATTGTAGTGGTTAACTCTTCAAGATGGTGCCCATCATGGAATGAAAAGCTTGTGAGGAGAAATGATGCAGGTTCCCAGAAAAATGTTTACCTAATTTGCAGTAGCATTTCAATACCTGAAGTTTTTTTTAATAAAATAATTTACTACTAAGAAGGGAAATGAGTATTTTAGGAAACATGAAGCCGAACAAATTTTCAAACACACAGAAAAGCAAATTTACCTGGAATTACTGGCAGTTGGTAGGCCAATCTCACATGACAAAAATGTTCAACTTTCAAAGGGACATTTACACATTTTTGTAGTATTTTAGCAGTATTGTTTTGGGAAAGTAAAAAATCAAATAAAGATAGGGATGGGACATGAGAATGTTTCTTTCAAATGCAAAATTATATTCTTTGGATCAAAACATCAACCATAAACTTCAGTGAAACTTGGGAAACTAAAAACTTTTTAATGACGATAGAACAAAAATCTGGGGTACTACCTGCCATGATATTTACAAATGGTAAAGTATTGCCTTCAATAATATTTGAGAATGGAGGTGAGATGATTTTGTTTTGGACCAGGCACTTCCAGGGAAAATTTTTTCTTAGATAATTTCACAGATAGAATTGAAAACAACTTATTAAAGGAATGGGTCATTAAACTAGAAATCAGATTTGCAGAAGCTTTAAACAGGTTTTAAAACAGCAAATGTTACAAGGGATAATATAATTCAAAGAAGTACTCAGAGTAAGATGAAAGGAGTTACAGGAAGGGCAGTGACATAATGGTGTGTATCTCATAGGTGTCAGTAGATTGTCAGCCAATTGCTGCCAGTTGAGAATCTGAGCCCCACATTCCCATGCTTTTCAACGTTTCAAGAGAATCTACAAATTTCAATTTTAACCTATGATATTATGAGTCTTGACTTCTGCATCCAAGTTTAGAGAATAAACACAGAACATATAAAACATGCCTGTGGACTGATGTCACACCATGAAATCAATTTGTCACAGATCTCTCTAGTTTAGAGCCACAGGGTGCCCTAGAAGTTATCTAATACTCCTTCAATGTTTATGTCAGTAAACCAACTGATTTTCTCTGTACCATAACCTCATCCTCCCATTTAACATTCACTTTAATCATCTGGCTTTTATTAATGTTTAAACTCCAGAATTTCCTCAGTATATTCTATGTCTGCTTCTGCAATGTAAGTTGATCTCTATTGACTGGTTCAATTCTACTGTAACTGGAACACTTGCTTTAGCTAGTGAAATATCACACTCATACTCATTAGAAGGCATCAGTCACCATAAATATTTCCATTTCTAAAACGATGTGTTTGCAGAAAGTATTCATTCTGAAGGCTTAAGATAATTCTTTATCAAGACTGTTCATTGCCCAGGAAATAGACATGAATTAATTTGCACAAGTGTACTGATGATTAACCCATTTGTAGAAGTTTGGTAAAAGAGTGAGATAGCTGGACCCATGGTCTTTCCCATTCCAAGCTCACTAATTCACAACCAGACAACATGCAGCAGACCAAGGAAGCCTAGGTAAGACAGGGCAACCAAAAGCATATAACTTGCAGGCAGGCTCCTAAGTTTCATCTACAGAGGCGACGAAATGGAGACACAGAATACCTTCTCATTAACAATGACAAAGCATCTTGGCAGCTGCAGTAAATTTGAGAAAGGAATATTTGTCATTTGTTTCTGCTGTTGAGCAGATAAGAAAAAATGGAGAATATAAAGCAGATTTGAAAGATTTTTGTAAATGCACTGAAATGGGATCCCATCTTATGCTGAAGAGTATCAGGATTAAAACTAACCCTGTATATGAGTCTCCTGTGGCTGCTGTAATGAATGATCATAAACCTGATGCCTTAAAACAACAGAGGCTTATTTTCTCACAATTCTGGAGGCCAAAAGTCTGAAGCCAAAGCGTCAGCCACGCCATTCTCCCTCCAGATGCTCTAAGGGAGGGTTCCTCCTTGCCTTTCCTAGCTTCAGATAACTCTGCTTGGTCCTCCATTGGTGGCTGCATCACTCCAATCTCAGCCACGGTGGTCACACTGCCTCCTCTTCCCTGTATGCCTCTGTACTGTGTGTCTCTTATCAGAACACTTGAATTCAGGGTCCACTTGATAATATAGGATTATCTCACCTTGAGACCCCTAATTAGATTCACAAAGGCCTTTTCTCCAAATAAAGTAACATTCACGGGTTCTGGGGATTAGCATGTGGACATTACGTTTTGGGGGCTGCCATTTGGTTTACTACAACTTAATTGATTAGGGGGGCTAAAATATTGATTTAATCCCTTCATGTTTTAGAAATTTGTGATTCCTCCTTTCTTTGTAATGACTCACTTATGCCAGGTAGATCCTGCCTGCGTCATGATCACGCCCATACTGAGATGTTTTGCCACCAGTATACAGAGACCCATAGGCTAGAATTTGCCATTCCAGAAATTTCCTAGAGAAACTGAGATTTAAGGTCTTAAAGAGGTAAAACCCTAGATGGACTTGATGAGGCTACTATAAAACTTGAGAAGGGAGTGACAACATCATTGCTGCTTCACTTTCATACAAGACATTTTAGTCAGCATTCCTTGGATAGCACTTGGCGCCCATTGACAGTCACTCACTGAAAAAATGCAGAGGTAGAAAGTTGAGTTAAATACTCCTTTCTCCTTTTCAAAAAAAGACTTCTGACTTTACAACAACAAAGACAGCCAATCATACATTTATTCTGAATTTCAAGCAGACCCTAAAATGTTAATGTATTTTCCTCTGAAAGTCAGTTTCAGATTTTCCCCTCGTACCTGACAGTGTTCCAGATAAAAGACTGACACTATGGCTCTTTAAGCCTTGTCCATGGGTATGTGTTGCAGATATCTCCCTTTTCCCACCAAGATAAACAAAACAAAACCAAAACAAACAAACAAACAAAAACTCTGATACACCTAATGTCACTGTATCATGTCAGTCTCATCTCTTGATTATGGAATGGAGTTTACTAACTTAAAATCATTATAGCTTATCACACATTCCTCCCTTCATTTCATTCAAAGATAGTTTGAAAGAATCTATCTCTGAGCATTTTGTGCTCAGGAAGTAGACGCTGAGCTAATGAATTCACTTTAATTATCAAATCAATATTTCATGGACAACTCAACCCAGGCTCTTTATTTTTGGAGCTGAGAGAAAAAGACTAATACAGAATTAACATATCTGTCAAAGACTCTACTAAACATTACACAAATGTCTCATTTCATACTTAAACTTCTAAAAGTTGGGGATAATGATGCACACTTCACTGATGAGGACATGAAGACATGACCTTGCCTTATAATATGCAGCTCCAAGTAGAGGTTCTGTGATTCTAAAGCTAAAGCCATCTGCAGTAGCTGGGAAATATTGAGAGAGGAAGACCTGAAGTTGTCTTAAAGAATTAGGAACAAAAAGCTTTCCCAGAGTAAGGACAGAGAAATGAAAGAACTTAGGCTAGAGGAGAGTGGGCAGTGAGAGTAACGTAGCAGGGGAGATTACAGCAGCTCTTTTATATCCAGCTGTGTGGTCTGGACGGGGCTGCACAAGACCTAAGATCCACTGGGTTCTTTGTAGGACCACCATTTTTACTGTAATTCTCAGTAGAACTTCACTACACTGCATTTGATAAAGTAGCATGTACCTGGCACATGCAGGGCTAAATGCAACAATTCAACAGCTGTTCATTTTCACTTTTCGTATTCTGGGTGAGGTGGGTAATTACATTCAGCTGCCTGCAACCATCCTGCTGCTGCTTTCCTGCAGAACTGTGACTCTTCATTTGTTCTCATGAGTAGGGTTGCATTGTGAGCTGTGAAATGCATCCAGCTGTCCAGTCCCTGGCAGAAGCCTCTTCATCATCTGCCTCTCTAGTCTGGATCAAGATGGTTCAGTCACAATACTTTTCAGTGGGGAGATTTATCTTTCTAGTCACTTTACATAGCAATCTTAGCAAACAGGAAAAAATCACTCACTCCACAATGAACAAAGCCACTAAAAATGCCCACTGTTTGGAGGGTGAAGAAAGTGAAACATTGTGAAAAAAAATTTGAGAATGAAGCTGAGGAACTCAGACCAAGAAAAATATTTGACTGGCCTTTGTTAACAGCTTAGGCAATACACAATAGCAAAAGTGAGAAACAGTTTGAGATGGGTTTAAAAGCTAGTAAGTCAGTGTATTTGGCTCAAGCTTTGGAACCCAACAAAAGACAGTGGGAATTGTGGTGGATGGCCTGAAACATCACCTCCTAAGCACAGGCATATGTCTCGATTCAAAACACTCTCCTCATTGTAAAGAGACCAGCTCCCTACGGTCCATGCTTATTCCTTCAGTCATTTATGAACTTGTATTTGTGCTAGGTATTTATTGAACACCTATCTTGATAACGTCATTTTGGAAAACAAATAAATACAGCAAGGTACAGAAAAAAATGTTACAGATATTCAGAGAAAAGAAATGTCAGTTCTGGAGGTGAAGGGATATAATGACAGCATTATGCTGATAAAACACTGCTGGATAAAGGAACTCTCATGGCTGGGCGTTCATTTTCCTAGCATTAAGGACAAAGTCTCTGTGAGCTAATTCGAAGGAGTTCTAAGAATCAGGGAGGGTATGAGCAGTGACTGGTTATGGGGTCAGAGTGCAGTGGAAACCAGACCAGTCCAGCGTCCCTGGTGATCTGACTGCATAATCAGGGCAGGCAGCAGGTTTGTAGGAGGGTGGGGATCAGTGATGATAGAAAATATAGAGAGAAATGGCAGCAGCTGAGATTTGACTTATGCTGATACTTGGCAGAAGATAAAATGGAAAGAGCACATGTCTTGGAGCCAGACGGTCCTGGGTTTGAATCCTGGTTCCATTACTTTTTAGTTCAGTGGACTGTGAACAAGTTACTAACTCACCTAAATAATGGGATCCTTATTTATTAAAAGAGGGGAGAGGTTTAATACAACACACCTTGAGGGGTTATTATAGGATTACGTGATATGTTATGAAATCCATAAGTGTAATAGATCCTCAGTGAGTGATGGTTATTATTAGGAGAATCTTCTTTGATGCTTTTTCTCATATTGACCCCTTCTGATGCCCCGCCCCCACGTGCTTCAACCTCTTGGACAACTACATAGCTAGCTGGCCAGGGACTGGGAGATGCCTTTCTTCAGAGTTCAAAACATCTTAGCCATACTGATGAACCATCAAGAGCATGCATAGCTAATCCAGTTTGTTTTTCCCCTCCAAGAATATCAGTGAGTAACTTCAGCATCTCAAGATCCTTTGGGGAAAAAAAATTCTAAGAGTGTGATTAACTGAGTAAATCCTATCACTGCTCAGCACTTGGATTCTGCTGTCAGGCTGTGTGGAGAAGTGGGATGATGATAAAGGGGTGTATTACAGATACGCAGTTGCAAGCAGGTAGATAATAATTGGAAATGATTACCTATTTGCCAAAGGACCAAAAATTCAATGGTAAAGAGCAGTTGGGTAATTTGAAGTCATTTTATCTGATAAATATTAGGCTGCTGAAAAGGCTGGGTATTGTTTCCCTTGGAAGAACCTGAAAGGGAAGAAACATTTTATCCTGAAAGTTACATGGAGCATCCTGTATTTGTCTGCACAGTTAAGAAATGGACGGAATTTCCTAAGAAACAGTACATCTTGGTGGCACTTTTCCGATAATCAAGGACAAAAGAGCTTTTCACACTACAGAGAAAGAAGATTGGGTTGATTGACTCAAATTTTCCCTATGTGGGTGTCTTCAACATTCCTACCCCAACTTCCCACCACGTGTTTACATTCATGAGATCTGTTAAGTGGTCTGTTTTGGAATTATTCAGCCAAGCCAGAGCAGCTAGTATTTACTGAGTGCCCAAGACAGGACTCTATTACATGGGGACATTAACAAACAAAACCTAGGTGTTCAGAATGAAGTCTTGCTAAAGGAGGTCCCAATGAGTGACTGCAACAGGTGAGGCATTTCCTATCCTGCCCGCATTCTACTCCTCATTGTTTTAAGGCAAATAACAAAAAAATGACTATTCTTTCCCAGGGATGGAATTAGATAATGTGTTGATATCATAATATTGTTTTTAGGGAGAGAGAGAGAGCAATTCACACAGTACTAAAACAGCAGGTATGAGCTGCTACAATTATCCTGTCCAGATACAATTATCTAGATAATTTAAGGGAAAGAGAACAAAAAAGAAATAATTGCTTAAATTATTAGATTGAAACTCTGGGGCTAAAATTTTTGGAACACGTTTTGACCTTGTTTTCAGCCAAAAGTGTTTATTATGCACCAGCTATGTGTCGATCAGGGAGAGAGAAAAAAAAAATGAAATGAAAATAGCCCTATCCTTGAGAAGCATAAAATGTTATAAGGTGTTGTAGACGATGGATTTAAAAGCAGTATTGTTAAGGGTTGTGATAGAAGTCACCATTAGGTGCTAAGGGAGTACCTAACCCATCCTGTTAGGGGAAGAGTTGTCAGGGGAGACCTCAGGAGGCCTGAACTGAGATGGAGCTATCCAAAGGACTGCAGTGAGCAGTGTTCCCGGAGGTGAGGACAACATAAGAAAACCCACAGAGGAGTCACACGGTAGCATCTGTAGGCCATTCCATACTGCTGAGATAGAATTGTGAAACAGGAGGTCGGGTAAAAAGCTTACAAGGATGTTTGAAGAGGGAAACGAGGCCAATGTTTAGACGGTTTTGTACGTCGATGTATGGAACAATTAGATAGGAAGCAGGGGGACTGCTTTGATAATCCAATGCTGAAGTTAAAAATGGGGGAAAATATCAGTGTTCACTTTTCAAGTAAGGTCCTGGTGGCCATGACAATTTCCTGGTCCATTAGCACTTGCCACAGAGGTGTTAAGTACTCTAGAATTTTGTTTTTGGTCTTGTGGGATAAAAGAGCCAAGACGACTAAAAAACACTAAGTCAAGCACATGGGGAGAAAAAGCTACATTACTAGGTGACAGAAAATGTGATTCCCTCCTCCCTCAAAAAGAAAAAAAAAAAAGACGGATCAAGAAACTTTCTGGTTATAACCCTTGACAATGCACTCTTACCTTGGCCTCTGTCCTTATTTCTATGCTACTTTGGGTTTCTAAGGCTGTAAAAAGCTGTAATAGAATGTTGTCAGTGAGGTTAGGAAGTAGGTCTTCGAGTAAATGAAAGAACTAGAGAAAAAGTGGAGCAACAGTGTAAATAACCAAGGCAGGTGTGAGTAAATCCGGCAAATATCTCCTTCCAATCTTCACTCTGAGGATAGAGTGAACTTTAAGAATCAGCTGTACCTTTAAGATGGTCTCTGATGGTAAGGAATGGATTCACTTATTCTCTCTTTGATGCATCAGTTTTAGGAGTTCATTTGTTCATTATTTTACATATTTTTCTATTCATGAATTAGTCTACTTCCTTACTTAAAAATTGCAATATCTATTTGTAGCTTAAATACACCAAAAATAACCAGGAAACTCCCTCAGTATCACCACAAGATTAAAAACAGTTGAGAGTTTATTATAACATTTTTAATGACTTGCTATGAACTAGGCATTGCTGATAATTTCCTTAATGTTCACAATAAGCTTATGTCAATGGTCCCATTTTTTAACACCATTTTACTAAAGAGGGAAATGACACAGAGAAAGGTGAAGTAATTTGCCTAAGACTGCAGAGATCCTAAGAGGCAGAACTGAGATCTGAATCCACTAGAGGAGATAAACTTCAACTGACCAACCAAGCCGGTTATCCTTTTCGTCCTCCTACACTAGAAAATAATTTTTTAATTATGTTTCTTCTGCTCACCTCTATTCTTTTTCCACTATGTTTACCCAACCTCATTTTGTCCTTTCTCCTCTTGATCACTGTTTCAGTCAGGGTCCAGTAAGAAACAAAGAGAACCATTTTAGAAATTTCAAGCAGAGGGAATTTAATATAGGGACTTAGTTACATGTGTGTTGGAAGAGCTCTGAAGCTAAACAGAGAAAGCCAAATCAGAGATGAGCAGCTGCTGAACGTGATGGTGTAACAAGCAGAAATGGTGTTATCAAAGTGCAAAAACCAGAACCAGGACCAACTGGCGACAGCTAAGCACATGGCAGGGGCTACTCTGTTGAAGTAGGGACCGGCCCACCTAGTGAGAGCTGGAATCACAGAAAACACAAGCACTACTCAGGACATTGCTCAAGACAGGGAGACAAGACAAATACGCTGGCTTCTCCCCTCCTCCTGCCTTCTGGTCTTTCATAATTCCTTCCCTTTAATCCAACCTATATAAGAGTCAGAGAGAAAAGGAAGCTTGGAAAATGTAGTAGGTCAGGGGGAGGATTGGAAAGCAACCAAGAACAAATCAACATATGGCTCATTCACCAAACGGCTGATTAACCAGCTTGTTCCAGGAGCCCATTTTTTTCCAATTAAACCACAGATACTGCCTGCCCATAAATGGTTAAAAAAAAATCAAACATATATTTCTGAAAATATGATTGGTGACACAGATATGTACACTGTTGAGAGAAGCAGGTTCACCTTTCCTTTGAATAGCAGCCAGTAACATTTGGCATTGATATAAGTTAGAAAGAGATAAAGATGTGATACCTTTGTTGGAACTTAATGACCTATGGAAGTTAGCTCTCACTTTCAATGCCACAGTTTGACATATTGTGTCATTAACTTCTTTCTATACCCCTCCCCAATAAATTCTAAGGTAGATTCCCGAAGGGCATCACTATTCACTGTGGAATTGATTTATTTTGTCATATTGAAACAAAATGGCAACTCATGCAACATTTCAGATGGGCATTTTCAAATGAAAAGATACACATGCATGAACAAGAGTTAGAAGCATGTGCTATTGGAGGGTCGACAACATTCCGAAGATTTCGACAGTTATCTACCTTCTTGAAGAGTTCCTACAGTATTTAAGCTACCCCAGGATGTCTGAGATGAGACTCAGTAAAAGGACCTGTTTATTCCCCTCCCCCTAAATGTATTATTTAGCTACATTTTCATTTTTGATTGCTACTGGTGGTGTTGCTGTCATTAAAAGTCCTGATTCAAAATATATATATATCAATATATATACATACATATATATACGAAGTGTCTTTCCTATAGAACTTCCTTATTAGCTTTGCATTAACCTGGACCATACCCTGATGCTGTTCTAATTTTACTTTCAGGACATTTCATTTCTAGTTGTATTCATCCAAAATGTTGTAGATCAGCATATTTTTAATGGCTCTGAGTTCACTACTCACCTCCAATCTGGCTGGTCAGAAGCTTCAGTATAAGGGTCCCACACTTATGAATATAGGCTATTTCTAAGGATAACCTAGAATGCAAACATGAACAGTAATTTGTTCCAGTAAATCCCAGCCATATCCTTAGTGCGGCATCTTTTTCCCTATTAGTCTAAGTTTGCTGAACAATTGCTGCATCTCTACATTATATTTTGCCTGTGTAGACAGCTCACAGACATTCAGTATGATTGAATAGTGGAATAAGGAAAAGCTTACATAGCCAACTGGCTGAATTTCTGAAACAGGAACCTACTTTCTTTCTTCCCTCAGCTTTTTCAGTCTGGTTTTGTTTTTATGAAAATCCAGCTTCTATCACTGTGAAAGTCTTGCTTGAAAGAGGTAACTTAATATCGATAAAACAGTGAAAATATACTATTATAAATGGATATACCTGTTCTCTGCCCAAGTTTAGAAGCAATTTAGCAATAGCAAAGAAACAAAGCAGATCGAGATTAAAAACAAAAAAAACCTGAATTATTATGTTTGGAAAATTGTGACACAGGTACATAATAATAGCGGGCTTCATAAAATTGATTCCAAGTATTAAAAACTTTTACCCACCTACCACTGGACAATAACAGAGTTCCCACACATACAGAGCTTGCCCCTGCGAAATTTAGTGTGGAGGAGCAGGGTAGAATGTGCACTGCCTACAGGGAAATTAGTGCCAAAACACAAGGAGGAAGGAAGGGGCTGAGCCTCCAGCTTTGTCCTTTTTCCTCGGTAATGCTTTTACATTTATCTACTTTAAAGTAGGGTCATTTGTTATGGCAAAGTAGTGGTTAGGTGCTCAAGGGAAATATCTCCTTGATTCTCTAAAGACCTCATCAGGCAGTAGGTTTCAGTAGGAAAGTTAAGTTACGTAAAGAATGACACCAAGTTACCAAAGAGGAATATGAGCCTGGGTTAACATAAAACATTGTTTACAAGATGATCTGAAACATAAGAACTAAAAATTATTCTCTCAATTCTCCTTAAGACTGATATTCAGTGTAACTAAAATTAACCAGATTTTTAATTTAAATAAAAAATTTTAAATAAATTGAATACTTAATAGGTTTAAGTAAATTGAATATTATTTGGATTAAGGATTAACAAAGCCAATAGTTCTTTGCAAACTAGTGAAACTGCCAAATCTCTGATGAGATTTACCAAGGTGGGAGGGAGAAAAGGAGAGGTATATAATCATCAGAAGAGAAAAAAAGTTACATCACAAGAAAGGCTGCAGTCCAAAAAGAAAAAAAAAGATATTATGAACACTTACAAACTAATAAATATGGCTCATCAAAACTGACAATGTAGATAAACCTGTATATTTTATATGACTTTAAACATGTAAATTCATGCTCAAGTATTTCTCAAAAATTAACTCTAGGTCTTTTTCGTTTCATCTGGGAATTCTCCCAAGTATTCAAGGAAAAAATAAATTTAATCTTACATAAACTCTTTAAGAAATATAGAAAATGTATGAGACTAGTGTTATCTTTGATAATAAAACCAACAACATTACCATAAAAAAAAACCCTCGAAAAATTACAAGATCACTGTGAGATAAGAGAAAACATGTATTGGTCTCCACCCCCAATCCTAGCAGAGCTCCTGAAGCTCTTGTGATTTACTAAGTAACAGACAGGAGTAGTGAGACCATCTCTTGTTCTAGTATTTGGTCTTTGATCGCATCTCTGTCCCCGACTGTTGGAGATCAACAATGGGACGTGACTGGGAACTGATCTTCAAGCTAGACCTGGGCAGAGGCTCCCCACCCACTCCATGCCCATCATTCCCAAGGTCTGAGTAAGCTGTTTCAAGCAGGCAGCGTTGAGAGAACAAGGTGTTTGTCTATACCATCTGGACTGTGTATGTGACTGAACCCAGTTAAGGCCTCTATATAAAGTTTAAAGATTCTTTATGTTCGTGTCTGACTGAAGCATTATGCTATACGACCAGAAACTGACACTGTAAACTGACTATACTACAATAAAAAAACATACATACAAAAAAAAAGATTCTGGCAGGTGGGTGCACAGAGCTATTTATTTGTCTTGTGACGGTCTGAGGCAACCTCCCCATATAAATCCTCTTGCTTATTAAACCTGCCCCCTACCAATCTGAATGGTTATGCCTCCTTTGGTC